ATTATTATTATTATTATTATTATTATTATTATTATTATTACTGTTATTATTATTATTGTTATCATTATCATTATTATTGTTATTATTATTATTACTATTATTATTATTGTTATTATTATTTTTATTATTATCGTATTATGTCTTTTCAACAGTCACATTATTTTCAGAATGGCACCTACAGTTTTACTGCGCTACGGGATGCCCAAAAAGCGACGACATTTTTCGCCTGTACCGGAAGAAATCCCTCCGGAATTACCACCAATTCATGCAATGTCAACGACAGAATTTCTACTGCACATTACATCAACAACGGCGAATGGTGAAATCCTGCCGGAGAGTGCATCGAACCCGCATACTTTTGAGGGACAGTCATCCAGTGCCATGGTTGACGAAGGTACTCGGCGCTCACCGCCTGCTCAAAAACGTATGGCAACTGAAGGCAGCTCGGAGGCCAGGTATTTTTTTTTTTGTTTGTTCGAAACTGGATTTGTTTATACATAAACATTTGGCACTTGCTAATCCAGGCTTTCTGTTTGAATTCGCCAGTGAGAAGGCCAATTTCTTAGTGATTCGAACTGAACTGATAGTATTCTGATATATTTAACACTTGACATGTATCTATGGTAACATCCGGAAGCGGGAGGAAAGTGGCAGTTATTGGAACTCGGCTCGGCCGGATCTTTCCAGCCGATGTCCCCGTACGCCCGCCGAAACCTCACTACTCCCTCTCATCACCCTCTGCTCTCCTCAGTTATTGCAAATTGTCTCCCCTCCCCCCTCCCAATTATCGCAACCAAACCAGTTTTGAGCGTTTTCGAGCACTTTCATTGACATTGCTTTATAACTTTGATGCTGAAAAGATTCTTTTAAGCGCTTTGAGTGAAGCCGGACAGCCATGTGCTTGGACACTTGCTGGGCCAGCAGGGGATGAAGATGTAATAGTGCTTTCTGACTCAGATGACGAAGAAGAAGCTGGCAGGGCAACTGAAAATAATGTCGAGAGGCGCGAATTCGAACCTGGCGATGATGGACGCATTAGGTTTGGAATGCAATCTGTTTATGTCCTTCTTGAATTCTTTTTGAAGTGCACACATTTGAAGTGTCATACTTGGCCATCGTACAATAGCTAATTTATGTCACCAAAATAGGTATACATAAAGAAGGCAAAGCGGTGAAAAAATTCCAAGTTTACATACGAATCGATTTTTTAGACGTGCAGACTATTTTCTTACTAACAGCAGCTCATAAGAGATTTTCTAGGTTATCTTTAAGACATCCTGGCTTAACTGTTCAGTTTTTGCTCGCCTAGATGTTTTTTTTTTACAACTTTTAAGCAGGATTCGTTGATTTTTACTGATTTCGAATGCTGAAATATGCACAACATTTTGCCAGTTAGGCATAAAGTTTCCTAAGGTGTATGCAGAATTTTTTTTCAGCACAGCGAGTCAAATATAGGGTATTCTCAAGTATAGGCAGATGCTTTTTGCCCGGGGAAGTAAACGTACCTTTATGGCAAGAGCAAATTCTGCTTTATAACGAATAGAAGCGCCAAATTTTGGCGCACGCTGCTTACGCTGCTGTTGCCCAAAAGAGCTTTTTTTTTTGTTTCCAAAATTTGTCTTTTGGCAAATAAGAGCAAATCAAAAAATTTCGGTTTGTTGCCTACACTATCGTGCAGTCCCTAGGAATGCGGCGGCTTCGTGGAATGAGGCAAAGGAGGTATGAAAAGGCCTTGTATCTCCCCGTCTTGTTTAAGCCGTACGAAACTGTGTTTGTGATATTGCCGCTTTTTTCGGCCAATTTCTTTGAAGGTAACATTCACAAGTGGTTTTTGATTTGTGCTTTGCTTCAGATGCACAAAATGCTCGTTTTCGTCAAAGAAATCATTCGATATGATAAAGCATGTGGTTGAGGTGCACCGGAGAAGTGATGCCTCTGACAAGGAAAAGTGAGTCCTCATTTGCTTAGGCTACTGCTGTCCACTGTTACCAGCCGTAAGCCGAGCGCATTCATGCCAGCTTTTTCGAGTGGATTTAACCCTATCACAACTGCGCCGACTTCCTGCCTGTCACTACTAATCTGATTGAATGTTACGTTTTTTGCATGATCGGGAACACCCCTGTCATTTTCCATTTCATCAATCGGCCCATCATCGCCACTGTTTGCTCCTTCGCTTTTGTTTTAATGACAGTAATCGAACTCGATCTGCAACGCACCAGGCTTGCCGATGCGATCGCGCGTTTTTGCACTAAGCTGGCAGATCGCTAACAACAGGTTCTTGCACTGTGATCTAACATTAGGATTCATACTGGCTATGTTTTGGCTTCCTCTGGCATGCAGAAGGGGAGGGCGTCGTTTGGGATGAAGGTGTTGCATTATGAGACCACGCAAAGCCCCAGGCACACGACTGTCTGTTTTTCCATAAAGCCTGATCATCTTTTTGGTAAACGCTCACTCTTTGAAAACTTGCAAATATGAAGAGAATGGAAAGAGAATTATGAAATCTGCAAATTGCACTCGCTTTTGAATCTAGAATAAAATTGGGTATTTTTAATGTCTGCGTGCTGGGAATTTCACCCCCAAACTGAATTGAGACCACATATGAAAATAGAATATCGTCACAGAGTTTCAGTTTCACAGCTTGCCTGGTAAACAGAATAGCCACTTCGCTTCAAATATCTCTGAAAC